ATTTACAAGCGAAGGTACGATAACCTTGACGCGTTAAAGACTGCAGTTAGGGAAAAGATAACCCAGATAGATGGTAGGACCATACTTAAGACAGTTCGAGCAGTTGAAAAACGTGCCCAAAAATGTATTGAAGAACAAGGTGGTGTTTTCGAGCATCTTCTTTAAAAAAAAATGTTATTGTATTTTGTAAGATTATAAGTTGATGTTGAAAATAAAGTTTGTCGATACAATTTAATTGTTTCAGATTGGAGGCCATAACTTCAACAATTTGTAACCTAGGAGAAAAGTTATTGTAAGCTTTTTTGTTTAAAATTTGATGCTTTAACAGAAAAAAATATAATATACAGGGGTTTCCATTTAAAAAAATGTTATTTTACTGAAAAAAATCAAAATAACGACTCTCAATTGTTTTTTTTTATTTCTCATTTTTACCAGCGTTAAAAATGCTACTAGTTTGCTAATTCAAACAACTTTGTATTTTCACTAATAACAAAGTTACTAATGGTGGACACTTAATTTGGATAACCCTGTATAGTGACAATGATATAAAAGCAGGAATTTTCATATTATGCTCAACCAGGTATTTACTTTTAGCCAAGAATTTGCTCGGACCACGACAACAGTACCAATCTTTTCGAGAGAAAAGAATGTACGCCGATGAATTGGTTTGTCACGTTGGTAGGCAGTGGTAGCCAAATAAGCCAAAAGTACCCACTAAAACTACACGTCTGTCCGAATTCGCTGATGTATATAGAGATTTACAAAATTAGAATAAGAAACAAAAGCCTTAGGTATATTGATAGGTATAAGTCACTATCAGCCCTCTTCTTTTCAGGTCAGTCACAGAGTTCCGTTTGACATTCTAAATTCAAAGTACGGCAATTCCATCACGGATCTCACTTTGTAAAGCTCATATATAATACTGTCAAGCAGAAAAATTTGTGATCAAACAGTATCCGCATTCATTCAACAGCAGGACAACGGCTTTCTGATGGAGTCCAGCACTTCAGATGTCGAGATATACTTGAGGCAAAAAATGTGTCATGTGGTAGATACTACTGTCCCGCAAGTGATCGATATCCTCGTTTGCTTTAGCCGGACAAATGAAATGTCTGTCAATGCTTACTTCGTATACCCAAAATGAATATAATGAGTAATATTCAATTATACTAGTAACTGCTGCACTGATTATAGTGGTATAGTGAGGAAGGCTACTATATTTTCAAACAATCTGTAGACTAGCAGTGCAGCTATGAACAAAAACTAAAAATTAACATTGCAAAATTATTTATTTTATGTTTTTGGATCAGGAATATTCATAAGTAATATAAGGGCATCTGATTTTTCCGAAAAAAATCAAAAAAGCACGTTGCTAAGCAATATTTTAACAAGAAGCATAAGTGCTGGTGGCAACAAAAATCCGATTTGAAGACGAGGATTTTTGTGTCTGCACGAATGTTTTTTGTTTAAAAAATATCACCTGAATCGTTTTTTTCGATTGTTTTCACATGACGTATTATACATGCAAAACTTGTTTAACGTCGTTGTCTGGTGTCCTAGGAGACCATAATTACTTGTTATCAAAGGTATTGTAATTTTTGGTGACAATAGCTGTCAAGTTTTGCTACGGGTAAACCCGAAAGAACTGCTGACAGGTGCTGTCATACAACTTTTCTATCTAGAAACCATTTGTAATGTAAAATTACGCATTTGTGATCGGTAGAAATTAAGACGAGGCGTCGTCGAACTTGAAAATCCAAAATTCATTTTTTACTTTTTATAGAAGAATTATATGGCAGTAGGTAAACTTTTTCTTGCGTTTTGAATTGAAGGTAGTCTTAGAAAAATAAAAAAAAGATCAAAATTGTATATGAAATGTGAGATCAATTTTTTAGATAACCTGACCCTGCTGTGGTTCATAAACTTTCAGTCTCGCATCTCGCAATACATCTAATCTCTCTGAAGGGGGCGTGACGACGTAAGTAATAATAATGAAGCCAATCTTTCGTAGTACCTTACGAACAACAATGGGCCATAACGGCATATCGTATACCATTATTAGGGGCATTGTATTTTTTGAGAGATACGTACAAATTGGTGTCAGTCCTGCCCTGTCCGCCTAAATTGTTGCATGTTAATTATAATTGTATATAATATCGATTAAAACCTCCTACGGTAGACCAAAGACGGATGGTACTAGGATGCATGGCGCACTCAGTGGCGTGCAGAACCACAGTCAACAACTTGGTTGCTGTTGAATATGTGGTTTCGAATAGATAGGCAATAGCATTTGATAAGCTGTAGAGTGTTGTCCTCCTATGTAAGCTTTCGTCCTGACAGGTCCACCTTTTTATCCAACAATGTCAACGGACTATCAACACTGTACTATTCTACAAACGTAATGGCAACTGATTATTGAATAAACTAGCTCTGGCGTTGAGATATACCTATGTTGATCTTGCACCGATCTGGTGCGAAATATAGGCAACACACAATACAACATCCATGGCTCGGAATTAACTTCCGATGAGGAGATTCGACATAAGTTTACCACTCTGTATGTTATAAGGCCCAGTTAAGGCCCGGTGTGGAGAATTGTGCACGAAACACTGTCTAAACTTTATATTACTTAGACAAAGGACAACCAACTAATCGATGACACTTCCTTAACGGACGATCTCAAGCCGCAAGAACCCCGATATCCCAGCGGACTCTGCTGTGAGATTTCCTTCATGATGCCGTTGCGCATAGGCCTTATAGACAAATATCGAGATCGAGAACTTACCGGTACGACTGCTCCTTCGTTCCTTGTCTTACCAGACGAGATTTTTTCTATCTAGTGATATAGCTCTCGTTTGCCCGACCACAGATGGCCAACCATAGACAGCTGTTTCGTGCTATATGGCAATTCATTAGCATGGACTAGGCTTGCTCTCAGGCAGGACAACGTATGAAAGCGGAGCAACTACCTTCTATCCAAAGTACCATCTGTCCATGGTTAACCGTCTATAGTCGGACGAACGAAAGCTATATTACTAGGTTGTTTATTAGTAACCTAGCTTGCTGTTTATCACTCTCGCAGTAGTCGATTCTGTTAAGAAAAGACACTTTGTGCTCCCTTATTTAGATTTTTTTCTAGTTCTGTTACCCATTGGCAGTTAAAAAACCAGACTAACATTTAGCGCCTTTACCCTAATCCTAGGTATTTAGACTTTAAATATCGCGATATTTCATAGAATTATTCTGACAAAGTGGCACAGTTTAGGATAGCGGATATGATTTCATATTTTGAGGGCATATTATACTCTTCAGTATAGCGTTTATACAGTATATTGGTACCGAGTAGTTATTAGAAGCCGCAAGCATACTTTTTGTTCACATGACGAAGTTCCAATATATTAAATGGCTGTACAAATTTAAAATGCATATACAGGGTGACTTCGAAGTTGAGTCATTTATTTTAACAGTGAATAGATCTGATCAAAAGAAATGTTTTTTCCTTTACTATTTTTCTGGTAAAATTAAAGTAACAAAGTTATAGCCCTTTGGAAGTTTGAGTACCGCCCTGTCTCAATATCATGTGCTCGTGTTTGGCAACAACGGATATAATCCGCCTTACCGGTTCATCGCATCGGAAACAAAAAAGCGAAAGAATTTGGAACGATGTTTGTGTACAGTTTATTATTTTATTCAGTTCAGTTATACATACAGTCTGTGTCAGTGTCGCGTGTGAATAGTGTCTATTGCGTGGCTCAAACGAAATAAAAAATGGCACATGTTTATGCGGATCGGTTTCCCAATCGAGTGCAACCAACCCCTCGTGCCTTTGTTAATGTAGTACAACGGGCTCGTGAATCAGGTGACTTAGGACCTCACAGGGGACCTCACGATCAAATACAGGTCCGCACTGAAATACTTGTCGGGAGGATACTTTATAAAACAAGGTAAACAATTTTTTTTAATTTTTTTTTATTTTTACACACATATTTTGGTTTATCTTCCTTCTACAATCATTATCTGAAAATTAATGACTCAACTTCAAAGTCACCCTGTATAAGAATTTATATCAAAATAACCTACTCTACAAGTTAATTATGTAATTTTATTACTATAATTACTACTAGAATTTTCCTCATTTAGTGGGACTCCCTACTGACATACTAATTTGTCAGCATAACAAGTTGGAATTACATTAACGGATATTCTAAAGATACACGAGATATGTCTGATTGAAAGGTATTGTAACCAGTTGCATGATACTGTAATTATTACATTATGCAATTTCAACACATGCCTTTCGAAATGAGGGATTAATTTCAGGATGTATAATTGCATCTATTCTCTGCATTTTGTAGTGGAAGAATATTATCATCCTAGTTCACAGCAATTGGGACCCATTGGGCACCTACGTCCTCAAACAGGTGAAGAAGATATGGCTCACTTGAGTTTCCTTTGCATAAGCCATTGGAGGCAAACGCAATTCCAAAAAAGACTCTCGTATTTTTATACTGATATCCCGTTAGGGATGCTTCTTCAGTTGACAAGTTTTTTATGCCTGAGCTACTACACAGGCCTAAGGCGTAAATACCAATGGGTATCGTTAAGATTTAGGTGGATATAGGAGAAAAAGGGGCGACGTAAGATGGACTCTATAGGAGGAACACATGTGTATGTGACATGCACAAATTTCCGCCCTGTCTTAGCGATTCGCCGGGTGGTATCTTCACGCTCGACGGTTTGAGGCCTAAGGACAATCACAACATCCATAACAAAGAAAAAAATCTCGAACCCGCGCAGCTCACGCTTAGTAGATGCACAGCGTTAGCTACTATGCCACCGGGTTGCCTAGACAGCATTTCGCTTTGTTTTTTTATACTCCAACTACCACGAAGGCTTAAGGCCACCCATGGAGTACCGTGGTGCTATAGAGGGATACAGAGGAAAAGGGGAACGCCACACGGATTCTGGCGAGGGAACTCGTGTGCATGCAACATGCACACATTCTGGCCCCGCCTACGAGATCCGCCGGGTGGTACCTCCGCGTTCGACAGTCAGAGACCGTCTACCACCTACGGACAATCACAACATCCATAGCCAAGAGAAACATTTCTCCTGGGACGGGATTCGAACCCGTACAGCGCACGGCGACTGATCAGGAGACCGAAGAGTCTACTACTGCGGCCACCGCTGCTGCCTACTGTCACTAATATAGCCGCAAAAGTAGCCATACTTCACATGATTCTGAAAACATTGTTGGTATACTTCAACATAGTTGGATTTTAAGAGATCATCAACTCAGGGAACATCCATCAAATTTGGGACTACCATGCAACAAATAATCTTTCTTCCTAAGAACCTTTATGCTCAGCTCGTGTTTATAGCTAATTTTCTTGGTCTATCACAATAATACCTCTGACGTCATCTACCAACACCCCGGCAAGGTAGGGTCGTTCCACCGTCCTCTGCTGGACTATATACCTTACCACAGTGACGGTAGAGGCCGCTAGTGGTATTACTGTGATAAGCCAGGAAAATTAGCTCTAAATCCGTGCTAATTATAAAAGTTGTTAGCAAGAAACGGTTTTTTGCACGGTAGCCAAGTAAATTGATTATTCACGGGATATTGGTTACCAAATAGGCATGTAATTTTATTAATGCCCTCAAATAATTTATCAAGCCGAATTTTGTACAGCAAGGACAAAAATCATTATTACAGTTTGACTGTTGGACTGTTGGACATGTTGTATTATTAAAAATATATCATTTTTTTAAATAATCACTTACAGGTAAGTAGTGACACTATTATTTTCAATAAAAAGCTCAGTAATCGCTGTCATACCAACCTATTTCAAGCTGGCCGCAACTCATTCTTATTGATTGTTCAAATTTGCGATTATATCGCAAATTCTTATTTTTGATTGACTGTATTTGCGTCTGGGCCGCAAATTTTGAACCCCAATTCACATGAAAAAACAGGTTTTTGTGGGTAAAGCAGGTGATATATAAGCATGTCTTCTCTTGGAAGGTTCTATTAAAAAATGTACATAAAACATGGATCACTCTCTTCAAAAAAATTGACTTATTCCGTACTTCATTACACTTTCGGATACAACCTACCAAAAGAAGAATATTTATATAATATACTATGACGTTATTGAGTTATAAGCGACTCAACGTACAAAAACGCTAAACATTGACAGCCTGGAAGTCCACGATACTGAAGGTTACCGATTTTATATTCCAGGCTTCTAAAGTACCCGTAAGTAGCTTCAGAAAGAGGTATCGCTAGACCTTTCATCCCATTTGGGGTTATGGATTTGTTTTTCACCCCGCTGAGGGGGAGAAAGTAACAAGAGAAAAAAAATCGATGGATCCCGGGTCCGAACAAATCTTTTCCCAAATATCATTTCTTGGTCTTGTTTCGTTTCGACATATACCAAATAAAAGTCATGTAAGAAATGTATGTATGTAATTTACGACATACGTTCAGAATCTAGTTCGATATAAACGAAGGCCACACAAATCTTGTTTAACAACCAAAGTGTGCCGTGTTTATGACAGTTACCAGGAACAATGGATAATCGGAAGTGTCGATATTTTACCGATCTACAACTCTCATCCATTTAGCAGTCTAGACGCTGGTAAGCCATGGCGTGCAGCGACTTGGAAGACAGTGGAATTGTTTATGAATGGATCTTATCGGTCGCTATAAAGCGTTAATTGTGATTCCTATCGGGATAAAATACTACTTGGATGCATGTATGCAGGTGGTCAGAGTCCTTGGATAGCTTTAAAATCGTTATAATATCTAATAATTGTATTTATGTTTTTATTTATAAATAAAAAATGAGATCCGTAAAAGAGGCAGAGATAGATAAATGCGAAAATTAAATCAGATCACTAACTTCATAACAGTACAGACATAGTTATAATCTTAAATTTAATTGATACTTTATCATTACTCCTATATTAAGAGGTAGCATTTTCTTTACCTACGTTAATAGTTATAGTGAAAAAACACCTAGGTGAATAACTAAGGACTTGTTTGCGCAGAACAGGACCTTGTGTACAATCACTAACCCCCCATGGTATGTCTCCAGTGAAACCTTTCACAGAGATCTTGACATTCCTTTCCTGAACGACTATATCAAACCACACGCGCCAATACATTTCCTTTTTGATAACAATTATAAAATATATCATTGATCACGCTACCTAACAAAAATGTTAACTTTTCTCACCATCTTATATTTATTACGTTTCCTAGAACCAATTTAACAAAGTAAAAAAGCAGTGATTTTCAAACTATGCTGCTTTTATGCTCTGTTATCATATAGGTACTGCCTTTTTACCATTCATATCATATTATGATGTTTACCTGTTTTGTTTTTTATCTAAAAATTCTATTATTTGTGAATAAGTATCGTTATTAATAATTACTTTTTCCCCGAAAGGATAGTTTTGAAAAAATATCTTCGTTTAACTTGACATATAACAAATCATGCTGTTTTTAGTATATTTATGTAATTATTTTTGATAAGTGTAATTACCAAATGTAACTATATAGTTATTAAATTGAATTATCTATGCTAGTTTCAGTATGGATAAGTTATATTAAAATAAAACGCAGCAATGTTAAAAGCAGTAAATTACATGTTACGGCGTTCTGATCTACGGCAATTAAAGATGACTTTTATTCTAGGTAACTATGATCCGAAATCACATTCAATTGACTCTATATAAAGTCAGGTAACTTTGCAATATTCGTTCACATGTTGTGTTGTAATATTACTGCTTACTTAGAAAAAAATCCAGAATTTTGAAGTCAATTGTCTCAGAATTCGATTTTTACAGTTCACTGCATTTTACCTAAGTAGGGCAGTATAGTCATGCTGAATCGCACAGCAACATTTTGTTGTGTGAATCAGTGAATGCACAATCGTGCAGCTATAGGTCTAACCAAAACTTCAATTTTTACATAAAACAGATGTCTAAATTGTTTTTTTGAATCAAAATAAGATTTCCGAATAATTTTTTTTATACTCCAACTACCACGAAGGCCTAAGGCCTAAGCACCTATTGGGTACCGTGGGGCTATAGGGGGATACATGGGAAAGGGGGAACGCCACACGGACGCTGGCGAGGGAACACGTGTGCGTTGCATGCACTCATTCTGGCTCCGCCTACGAGATCCGCCGGGTGGTACCTCCGCGTTCGACAGTCAGAGACCGTCTACCACCTACGGACAATCACAACATCCATAGCCAAGAAAAAAATTTCTCCTGGGACGGGACTCGAACCCGCGCAGCGCACGGCGACTGATCAGGAGACCGAAGAGTCTACTACTGCGGCCACCGCTGCTGCCTAGTTAACAATGCCTTCTTCCCTCCTTTCTTTTATCTTTTTTCTTTCCGCCTGACTGACTGTCTCTGGTATCTGGGCAACCAGATCTGACAGACCTATTGACTCACAATACTTAAACAGGGAGGAACGTTCTTACGAACGACTCTGACGTCGCATTCACACATTGGAGCCAACATGGTATCATTGAGGGCCGATGTTGGCCATTTCTCATTGGTTTAGCGTTCACACATTGCTGTTGGACTACGGTGGCCCAAAATGTGAATGCGAAATGTCAAACAATGTCAAATAGAAGTAAGTAATGGTGATAAAAAATTCAATTTTTAAAGTTTCAAATTTCATTCATCCAAAAATATATGGAAAATCAGTGAATAACCTGACAATCGGAATAATATTAGAAAATGGTTTCTAATACAGAAGAAAAATAACACCATTCAGTAGCATTGTGCGTCTTACTTTCATTATAAGAGGAAAGTGGATCGTTTATTATTTATTTAATTATTGAAAGAAATTGGAGGATTTGCTACAATCACTTGGACCACGTTAGTTGATTCCTCATTTTGGTTTAATAGACAGAACATGTCTGACATGTAGTGTATTTATGCTCCTTGATCTAAATATAGTTTACTATCAATACATTTATACAGAAACATTCTTTCCATTCGTACAGATATCATAAATATAAATGATATGAATTTATTTCCAGTTTGCCATTATATCCAAGTTCGTAGTAATATTTCCACCCCATGTAGCGGTATCTGACATAAGAATAAATCAAAATTCGTCTAAAAAATGTATGGAAGAAAGGCCATAAATTATTAATTGACAACCAGTGCCATTATATCATGGTATCAATTAAGATTTAGAACTGCATATAAGGCGGCAATTATGAATGGCGACAGCGGGGTCCATTTCTGGAGAATCGACGTTAGATTTCTCCGTAGGAGGAATTAATGTGAAAATGGTACTCTAAACAAATCAGTGGCGTAGCTTATAATACCTATAGGAAATAGGGGTCCAGCAATCTCCAAAACGAAAACACAGCCAATCAATTTCAAATCGATCAATTTAATATGGGTCAACTGCTCCTCAATCGAAAAAGGATACAAACTTGGAAAATATGAGTCAGCGGCAACCAAAAAGTTTTATAAAACCCTAAAGACTTTTAAAGTGCAATTTCAGTTCCCGTGAGCTTATCAGATCCATATAAAATAAATGAGGCATTCGTTTAAATTTTCGAGAATAGTGATTTGGGTTGTGCTGATAAAATTGCATATTACCGAGCTAATAAAAATAACTCAAAATCCAAATTTCAATTTAATAAAGTGACTATTGACACCGTTGTTAGAATTATACATAAAATAAAATCAAATTCTAGTGGTTCAGATGGAATAACTTTGCATATGATACTACTATGTATACCTAAAATTGATGTGTACTTAACACATATTATCAACTGCTGCTTAGAGAAGGGATATTTCCCCAATCAGTGAAAACGTGCTATAGTTGTTCCGCTATCTAAGTGCTCTGATCCCACTAACTATGGTCAACTGAGACCGCCCATTTTTTCTCAAGTATTGGAACGCGTTGTTTACGAGCAGCTCTGCGCCTACTTATATTCTAACAAAATTATTTCATCTAAACAATCTGGATTTCGACAAAGTCATAGTACAGCTTCGGCACTCTGTGATTTAACAGACAATATAATAATGGCACTTGATAATCAAAAAGCAGTAGCTCTCATAGTTCTTGACTTTACTAAAGCATTTGACACCATTAATCACTCACTTCTTGTGTCTAAATGCAGTTATGATAGATTTTCTGAAAAACCTCTTGCATTTATGCAAACCTACCTTGAAAATCGGTATGAAAAAGTTCGTCTAAGTCAACAGTACTCTACCGACCAAAAAATTTGTTCTGGTGTTCCACAGGGATCAGTCTTAGGACCCCTATTATTTTCATTATATATCTCAGATTTTGAAACTGGTAAAATCATGCAGCATACAATTTGTTGTAGACGATACTCAAATTTTCTATTCATTTAGGAGCAATGACTTGGAAACAGCAATTAATAAAATTAATCAAGATCTTACCCAATGTTGGTATACGCAAATAGAACAAAAAAGAATATTTTAAAAAAGGACATAGACATAGATTTAAAAGGTAATAAATTAGTTCTTGTGGATCATTCGAAGAACCTAGGTATTATAATGGATGATGACTTAAAATTTGTTGTACACGTAAACTATCTAATTTCTCAGTGCTACGCTATTCTCAGAGTTTTGTTTGCAAATAAGGCTATATTGCATAAATCTGCGAGAAATCAATTGTGTGGATCTTTCTTGTTTTCAAAGATATCGTATTGCTTAGTGGTTTACTATCCCTATTCAGATATTATAACAAGAAATTGTATTCAAAGTATTATGAATTCATGTTGCAGACTTAAATGGTCTCAGAAAGTATGATCATATATCGGATGCCATTAATGAACTCAAATGGATGAGAATTGATAAAATGTATAAGTACCAGCTCCTAAATCTGACTCATAAGGTTCTTTATTCAAAAACACCGTCATATTTAGTAAACAAATTCATACGTAGAGAAAATATGCAGGGCATTCATATTAGATATAGAGAGACTTTTTCAATTCCACGCCACAGCACATCTCTATTTCAGAATACATATATTTACAATGCGATCAAATCATCATATAATTCTTTAGACCGCAGATTAAAAAAAACCAATCCATTACCCAAATTCAAGAAAAAAGTGAAAAAAGTTCTACTTGATCACCAGCGAAATCTGGTGTAACCCATAAGTCGCCTCATATTTTCCTTATGCCTTTACTTAGATTATACTTTATTCTGTCGTTATTGTATACAGGTATTAATTTTCAACAAATTCTGTTTTTTTTACATCTCGTATTGTTAAGGGGGTTAGATGGTATAATAGATATATTATCTAAATCTCGCCTCCTGTAAGAATATTACAAACAAAAGACGTTAATTATTACTATTATTATTATTATTATTACGGCCCTGGTACCAGGATATCCACAACTCAAACACTGAATTTTCGAGTAAATAGCAAGTTAAACTAGTTTAATTTAACGGTAATATTATCTCATAACTAGGTCAAACTGGACTGAGACTGGTTCACACTCAGCTACAAATATATTGTAACTTACATTACCTTCTTGGAGTAATTTGAAGAATCGCGATTAAGTTTTATAAGCTCCCGGTATACCAAGAGCATTATTGAGAATAATATCGAAATCTGTCGGTTTTGCTTTTATACAGAGACATCCAAATATCAGTGACGAGGTAATGTATACGAGAGAGAAGCGCCAGAAGAATGCATTGCGTATGTACAACTTAGCACCTACACCATTATTTTTAGAAAATAGCATTCTAACAGAATTAACCCAAGCAAAATCGTGTTTGGATACGCTCAAAGCACTTTTATGAAATTGATAGGCATAAAAAACAATATTTTTTTGCTCTTTTTGCTTCGAAATTTCATCAAAATGCGTGCTGTTAGCTGATATACAAATAGTCTTGTAAAGTCTGGTTTTATTGGTGCAAGTTCTTCAACGGGGTATTTAAAAGATGAACGCATAAAATGGGTACACCAATTTGTGTGGGAAAACTGTTTATTTGACAACAAAGAACGAGAAAACGTGTTTTTTGGATTCATTCGAAAGTGTTGACAGGAAGGAAAAACCTTTACATACAAGATTTTTAGGTATTTACGAGACCACACGTGAAAAGATCCGACTAATAACAAAAATGTTATGGACGAAAAACGAGGTTTTGGCAATGCGACGATAATTTCACGCAACTACTTGAAATTTTTCAAATCCGTAGAATTCATATTTCTAAATAACAACAACGAAATTGGAGTATATTGGATAAGTAGTTTTTTGAGAATTGCTAATTATTTATCTCAAGACACCTGTTTTTGGGCCATCACTACTAGTTTATTGAGCAATATACAGGTTTCGTTCAAAGAGAATTTAATAGCAAAATACACGTGTTTACCTTGCCGATATGGATGACAAACCATTCCGAAAGATAAATGTTATTTTTATGCGAAAAACATAAGTTACGTTTTTTTCTTCTAAACAAATTCAAACATTTCGTATTTGTGAGTAATTGAACAAATGCGCTAGATATTTGCTAGACATGCGCTACTATACACACCTTAAAACAAAGCGGATGTGTCTATCATCTTTTGTTGCGAATTACTCACAAATACGAAATGTTTGGTTTTGTTTAGAAGAAAAAACGTAACCCATCCTTTCTTGCATCATTCCTTCGGAATGGTTTGCGATTCATATCGGCAAGGTATTTTGCTATAAAACGCCTTTTGAACCAACCCTGTATACTGCTCAACAAACTAGTAGTGATGGCTGGAAAACAGGTGTTTTGGGATAAACAATTGAAAAGTACTTGACCAATCTACTCCAGTTTTGTTGTGTTTCTTTAGAAGTACGAATCCTACGAATTTGAAGATTTTCAAATATATACGAGAAACCATCGCCGCATTACCAACAAGTGCCAAAACCTGCAGTTTGCCTCGGTTTTCGGCCTTAAGTTTTTTGTCATTAGTCGTATCTTTTTGAGCGTGGTCTCATTGTGTAGGTCTCGTAAATACGTAAAGATCTTATATGAAGAGTTTTTTCGTTCCTTCCAACACTTTCGATTGAATCCCAAAGAAACACATTTTCTTATTCGTTGTTGTCGAATAAAAAGTTTTTCCATAAAAATTGGTGTACTCATTTTATGCGTCCATGTTTTGAAGAACGAAAATGAAAAAAAAAACTTTTTACCTGAAATCCAAAAACTTTTCTTTCGGTTATGCGTGGGAAGGAAAAAATACATTGTTTTGTCGCGTAATGATTTTTTGATATAAAAAGCACCTTCTAGTACCTGTCCAAATTTCAAGAATGGTATTCTTTGAAAATGGGACTTAGAAAAAAATAGCATCAACGATTAGTTGGCTGAACATATTTTTATTTTACGGGAAAATGTACGAGGAAACCTATGAAGTGTGATATGTCTAATAGGTGCGTAGAGTCACCGGGGCTGGAACTGTGAATAACATACCAATACTAAACAATTGCGATACACCCTCTCCCACCACAACTTCCCACCCTCCCATTTTTTTGAAAATTCTGATAAAACGTAGTATGTCACTTTTATTAT